CTCCGGGGAGTCATGGTGAGTGCTTCCCCCGCTTCGACCTCGAGTTCGCACTTGCTCGAGCGCCCCCGCGCACGAGCGAGCCGGGCTCGGCCGCGCCGACTTCTCCTGGGAAGCCCCGCGCCCCCGGCCCCGTCCTGCAACTTTCTTCGGAGTTCAGCCGCCCGTCCGGCTCCTGAGCCCGTGTCTCGTCTCCTCCGCCCGACCCCGGCCGGTCTGCAAGCGGCGATGGGGAGCCGGAATCCTTGCGCGCCGTAGGCGGTGCGAGGAACTTGCGGTTCAGCGCGCGAGCGTCGGTGGGTCGAGAAGCTGAAAGCGGGGGTGGTTGCAGGTCCCTGTTTTTGGTTTTTTCCAAAACCAAACCCATGCAAGGAAAGAACGGACAGCAAAACGGTCGCTCTTCCCGGGTCAGAAAGCGACCAAGAGAGAAGTGGAAGGAATCGTGTTCTTTTCGTAAATCGAGTGAGGACCTTCAGCGCAGTCCTGTCTGCCTTTGGCTGAGGGTTCAGGCTAGCTCAGGATCGCTCTTCTATCCTAAAAAGCTTAGTTCCCTCCTCCTCGCCTTACTCCCCAGGGTGGCTTTATTTTTCCCTTGTATTTGTGTTCTTAAAAAGTACATGCTCCCTTTCAAAGCCAGCTTTTCCCAGGGCAGCTCACTTAATAGTTTGAAATCTCAAAATGAGAAATGTGAACAGACTCGTTTCCCCGTGCTGAGAAAGATTGAAGTCGGTGTTTCTTCCACCGATGCTCCTCCTCCACCCCAAGTTAATGTAATTTTTGCTGTGACTGAAGAACTCCCTTGTGCTTCCTGTTTCTTGTTTCACCTCTTGTGTTTTCACACACATCTTTCCTTTCCCAACCACCACAGGAGAGATCGAGAAAATAGTGAAAAAACCTTGAAATGCATGCTTTTCTGTTGAGTTATGGTGAATATCTTGATGCCAGCAGGCAACTACAGTAATTGACTTTCCTTGACTTTGATTGAAAAGGAGAGATGATCATCATGGGGAGATTCCAAGGGTGTGGGGTGGAAATTTTTTCAGTGCAGAAAAGTTCTCATTTCAGAAGTTCTTTAATAACTAATGGAGGTTAATTAGAAATACAGTATTATGCACCTTTGGCTCATTGTATTGAGATATGTGTTTTTCAGTGCAGTAAATATTACCTGTGTCCTTTATTTTAATTTGCCTAGAAAAATTATCAGTTCACATGGTATTGAAAGTGATCTTTACATGGTCAGAAAACCATTATGACCAACTTAATATTTGTGGAGAAGAGAAGGGGCTGTATGCTAGTATTTAGCTTTTTCTATAGAAACTGGTCTCATAGAGGTGTGCCTTATGTCTCATTTTACAATTAAAGTATTAACACTGAAGTCAGTTTATTAGCAATAGGAAATTAAATTTATAAACTGGTATATGCAGTCCAGATTTGTAAAAAATCCTGCAGTTACTTATGTGAATTTGGAAGGCATGTTCTTTAGACCATTGTATAACTGAGGACAATAGACGTCCTTCCACAGTATAGTATCAGTACTTTGCATCATTAAAACATGTAGTATCCATTTCTGTTGTCCTTCTTCCCAACTGTACATTCTTCAAAAGACTGTGAGTAACATTTCTGAGTCTGCTCTCTAATTAGTGCTTTTTTACAGGGGTTTTTTTTTTTAAATCTTGTGCATACAACTATGCATACAATTTATATTTTGTGTGGGTTTTTTTAAATTGGAAACATCTTTTGCTCAAGCTCTCTCACCATGATTTGTTGCTAATGTGTACATTTCTCAGTCTATTCAGGCAGAGAGTTTAGAACCAGAAGTTTACAAAATTCACAGAACTGTCTAGGTTCAGTTTATTTGACTGACTATGCACAGTGTGGTTTGTTTCTGGAATTACAGAGTTGCAACATTCTTTTTCTGCAGACTTGACCAGTCTTGTGAGTCTGGAATGACTTTTTCTACCGTAGTTCAATAATGCAGCAAGCCCCTTAAGATGTACATTGGAACGAAGCAAACTAAAATAAAATAGCCATCCTTAGGACTTAATTTACATTTAGCAGTTTCTCACTGAGAGGATGAACTGTCAGCCACGTCTACAGAGATACTTAAAAAAATCATCACAATCTCTACATAAAAAGTAATATTCGGGACAGCAGAGGCGTCTGTTGCAAGCCATAATGACATGTGCATCATGATGTTGTTGTGCAAATAAACATTTTTTTTTATTTGTGTCATGATGCCTGATGCAAGTAAGTAAGTTGCATCATTTTGTGATGATGTCATGATGCTTTGTCAGTATTTGCTTCCTTTTGCCTCCTCTGGGGCTGCCCATGCTAGGAAGAATTCAAACCCTGTCTTCTCCCTGTTTATGTAGGCATCAATTGAATCATAGAGTGTGATACAGTGCTGCAGGCAAGCCATGTGCTAGGGTCATAATTTGAAGATGAGAAATGTAAAAGGACCAACATTTGAACAGAGTGGACTTTAAAATAGTCTCCAGAGTGTGTATCTTAACAACTGCCTCAGCTCTGCTTAAAATCTTTAAAGTCCTTAAAATACATAATTGCTTCTGATGCGTTCTTTCTGACTTGCAGATCCTTTTGTTTAACTACTGGATATCGTTTGTTAGACAGATATTCAAATTTTATCTTTGGTTATATAAGTTTGAGTACTTTTTGAAGTTGAGTTTTGTATTTAGAATTAACATTGCATGATAAAAGACTGAAGATGTAATTGGTTTAAAAGAGTTGAAAAAGTATGAGCTAAGAGCTTGCAAAGAGGTAACATGAAGCTGGAAAACATGATTCCAGGTGAAAGATAAGGGGTAGAGAGCCTCGCCTTATGGAACATAGAAACCTGCCTAAAATTGAGATCGTCATTGACCCATTTTAGTATGGCCTCGAAAACAGATATCTTTTCCAGTTTCACCTGGATATGCCAGAAATTTCATTTGTATGCAGAACATATGCACAATGATTGAACTATAAGTCCTAACAAGAATGTAGAGTAGATAATCAACTCTTCTGACAACTGGATTCTGTTCTAAAATTATTTCTGCTACTCTTTTTCAAGCATTTGGTCAGCTCTTACAAAACTTATTTTGTGAACTGTACTGAACCAATATGAACCAGTCTTCCATAGATAATGCTCATATTGGTATAGGAGGCTTGGCTATATCAGTGAACGGGGGGGGGGGGGAAGTACCCGGTTTGTCTGCCTTCTTTTTAGATTAATACAAGGATGTCATGGTTGATAAGCTGGAAATTATTAGCTTTGCTTGTGGTTATGAAAATCATGGCATATGCTTGTACCTGTTCAACTACTTGGACTTTGCTGTTGAATGCCCCAATGATGGGTTTAAAATTTACATCTAGGAAAGTGATGAAAAAACAGAAATAATGAGTTGAGGATCTAAGAATAAAAAAGAAAAGCAGTGGTCCATGTCTTACAAATAGTAGCACATATGAGAGAGTTGTTTAAGTGCTTGTAGATCCATACCACTGTGCCATCTGTTTATTAAGACTAGTGGTTGAGAAGGAAACCATCACAGTACTAATTTCTGCATAAACTGAAAACTTATGAACTCACACAGATATAATGTAAAATATCTTGAATGTTAACTTCCATTTCAGTAGAGCTTCTCCTGGACCTTGTCTTGAGCAATGCAAATAAGGTCCATAGAAAGTAATTATATGAGCTGATGACTTGAAATTATAATGTTCTCCCTATGATCCCAGAATGCTGGAATAGCAAGCAGTCATACAAGTTAATAACCCTGAAACTAGTTATTAGTAGGGGTTTAATTACTTGGGAGCATTAAATAACTCTTCCTGGTATGATAGTGGCTTTTGCATTAAACAAAACTGGTCTGGTTCATACTTAAGTAAAAAGCAAGCTTTTTTGAAAATAGTGTAGTGTTAGATATGAACCACACTGTTCTAATTAATCTGTACGGTATTTGATGAAAAGAGTTGATGAACAAACTGTGATTTGAATTTGACCTGGTTCTTCCAATACTGCAAACACTTGCACTGTTTACTTTTTTGGGTTTTTTTTTACTGTTTACTTTGAGAAGAGAAGAGAAGAGGAGATATGGCAATACTTCCTAAATACCTGAAAGAATGTCACAGTTACCATTGTTTCAGAATACAGAGTACAGGAATAGTGAATTTAAATTACAGGATAACATATGAATAAAATGATAATTGGATACTTGATAGGAAATTTAGGTGATTTTCCAGATTTTCCAAACTGACCATTGGTGCAAATGTATTGCTAGGTATACTATTGTGGCGAAAGGAATAGTTCTAGGATGTTACTGAACTAAAGTCTTCTGCATTCCCATCAACAATAGCTGTGACATGTCATGCTGCCCATCTCTAATATGAATCTTCTCTTGCGCTTCTCAGTCCACTTCAGTCATGGTTATCTGTAAAGAAGATACACTCCCAGGTCAGTATTTGATATCTGGAGGTTGGAACAGGAAAGAGCATTTCATTTGCACCAACTTTTGGAATTTCTGCTACTTTTCTGTCACCAGTTTGTAGTACTTTCAACCAGTGATCATTCAGCATGCAGAGTGAGTATTAGTCCCATTTTCCAGATGAAGCATAGAATCTTGTCAAAGGCCATCTGAATTTGCTCTATAACATTAAGCCAGATCTTTCAAATGTGGCTTGTTGACCAGCCGTAGTGATTCGGTTCACAGCAAGACATACATACATACATACATAC